ATTACCTAACAAAAAAAATGTATGTATTGTCAATCTAACTATATAGACTATCCTAGAATGAAAATAAAGTAGTACCAGAAATCTCGTGTAATTTATGTGGTTGCTCTGTTCACATACCTGTTTTTTACTTGCATATGGTGATTAAATCCCATCCAGAGTACTATTGGAGAAGGAAAGGATATGAAAAAGTTCACATTGCCCAGTGACGTGGGAGAGTAAGAGTCAAGGGTAATAAGAACAGAGATGGAATAGTTTGCACATAATAAATCTGAGGGTTAGGAAATTTTAAATGATTATTTCCAAGATATAGTATGAGAAGGAAACTCTCTGTCCTTAGGCTGACATTACTTTGGCCTCCAGAAGTCTGAGAAGTCATAAAAAAGAAAAGAAGAGAGAGAGAGAGAGAGAGAAAGAGAGAAAGAGAGAGAGAGAGTCATAAAGAGAGAGAGCGCCCACTTTTTTAACAGCACGTGCTATCAAAAAGACCCCAGAAATCTTTTCACATATACATCCTAGAAATATTTACTTTTGCCTTTAGTTTCCTTCAATTCTCTTCCTGCCACTATTTTATTTCTCTGTAGTTTTCAATCTAAAATCTCTAATCTAAGCTTTTATTTTGTACTCACTTTGTTACCTATAAAATTCTCATCCTCTCTATTCTAACTCTCTTTTTGAAATTTCTTTTGATTTCTCATTTATAAATCATTCCCATTTGCTATTACCCTTGGGTGTTTAAATATTTATATGACCACCTTAAGTACTTCTCCACTTACTCTGTCCTACCTCTTCATCTACTTCCTGATCTCTGGGTCCAGACCTTCTAAAAGTTAGGAAGAAATCTGGGCACCTTTCCTCTTACAGAAAATTTGCAATTTTTCAGACTCTATCCACAAGCTCTCTCATTTCATATTCCTAACCTTCCTAAAAGATCTTCCTACCCAACCTGTCCCATGTGTTCAGAAGAGTTGACAGTTTTATTCTCCTGAAATATGAATTTGATCTCTCATCTACATTCCCCCTAATCCACTTTGCCTGAACATCAAATCCTATGTATGGATGTATATTCCTATCAATCTTCCTACCTAATTCTCTCTTCCCCAGGCAGGACACTCTCCTTTCTGGTCCTCTAACATCTTTCACTCTTGGAAATGGCTTCTCTCCTTTTAAGTTCTGCTTTCTCCCTGTGGTAGCTTTCCTGCAACTCACATTAATCTCTATATCCTTCAATTCATTTTGCACTTTCTGCTTTTGGGACACACTACTGTTTCTCCTGACACAATACTTTCCTGGTCTCACATAATGCAATAGTTAGCACTTTGCTTTATCAGAATACAATGACTATTAATGGTATACTATTCTTTTGTCCTCTAATTGTTTCGAGCATATGTCTTACCTCTCCAACCAGACAGCATATGCATATTTTAAAAAGGTCCTGACTCAGAAGCTCTTATATCTCTTAACTCCTAATATAAGGTCAGTTCATTGATTTTAACTTTTAACTCTTGCCATCCTCATTACATTGGTTGGCAAACAACAAAATATTTACTAAAATTAGCTTAACAAGATAATTGAAAGTAGGTAAGTTCTATTGTATACTTATTTTACAAAGACTGAATTTGGTCATGAATATATATTTAACATTTAATGAACACTAGTTCACTCTATTATGCTGCTTTGTGGACTATAGTTCTAGATATTTTGTGATCTTGCTTACTACCAGAGATATAATAAATTTTGTAAATCCAGATGAGACTTCTTTTGTGAACTCCAAACTCATATATCCAGTTGTATACTCAACATCTCATGCGATAACTAATTGACTTCTCCAAAACTGAGCTCTTGGTATACAAGCTTTCAAAAAAAAAAAAAAAAAAAGCACTACTATTTTACCACAAGCTCTCCAAACTATTTCTCTATCTCAATTGGTGGCAACTTCCATTTGCTTGGTACTCAAGAGTCTTAGAAATATC